CTTGTGTGCTCTCTCTCTCTCAAATAAATAAATTAAATTAAAAAAAAAAAAAAAAGGACACCAAACATTTCCGAGTGACTAGAATGTGCCAGACACGACAGCAAGCTCTGGGGATACAGGGACCATTAAGCTATGATGACTTCAGTGGAAGGGCTCATGATCTTCTGGGCAAATGGAGCAAGGTCCATGCCTGCACAGAGAACCTGTGTCATGCAGAAAAATGCTGGAGGTCCTTGCAAGAGGAAGTATGTAATTCAGCATGCCTTGGACATGGGAAGCAAGGCAGAGCTTCTGGCAAAGGGCTTTCTCGGAGCAGTGCCTTGTAACATGTAAAAGGATTAGGGCAGGGAAAGGGAGCAAACAAGACCATCAAAGCAGAGCAGGGCACCAGAGTCCAAAGGCTATTCAGCCTCTACGTTTGACGGAGCTTGTGTACAGGCATTCAGCAGGGACAGCAGGGAGATGGGAGAGGCAACTGGCTGGAAAGGTGCTTTGGAAGCAGCGTATCCCAAGAGGATTTATTTTCTAGGAAGCTGGCAGCCATTAGGCTTTTGGGGCGGGACAGCGTCATCATTGGATCTGGGGCTCAGAGTCCACTTGCCCTGACTAAGCCATCCCTCCCCTCTATTTGTTTCATGTGGGCTTCCTCCTCCTTGCAGCTGCATGTTATATCTCTATAAATCTTCCTTTCACTTGTTTCTGGTCCCTCCTCTAACGTGTGGTTATTTTGACACCCTTTCCCCGTAATCCAGCCCCCAGGGAGCCAGCCCTGATCCACAGGCACTCAACTTACTCAAAACAACCACTGATAAAAATCTCTATTCCAGGCCAACGTACACCAGTTTGCTTTCCCTTTTTATTCCCCTTAAATTACATTTTCATCTTAAAGATGCAAATATAATTGCTTTAGGGTTTGCTTGGCCCAAGCAGCAAATGTCTGGTGTTGGTTTAGTCTTCCCTACATTAAAAATGTTTATTACAAGTTCCTGGAAAGAGTCACAATCTTCATTAATACTGTAACTCTTGACAGCCTTGAATACCTAAGAAAGTGCTTTTTTTCTTTTTCTTGTTGGAAAATTGGGGAGAGAATCACTCCTTTTTCTTCCTAAGTAGTACCCACTTCAGCAGGGCACAAAGAGCACCTGCTCTGTTCCTAACACCAGCCAGTTTCTCTGAGTACAAGTACAGAGTGTTCCAAAAGCACCACAGCAGACAAACCCTGAATCATTTTGTTCCTAAGCATGAGTAGTTTTCAGATTAAACCTGTGGCCAGGGGTGCCTGGCTGGCTCGGTCAGTAGAACATGCAACTCTTGATCTTAGGGTTATAAATTCAAGCCCCATGTTGGGCATAGAGCTTACTTAAAAAAAAAAAAATCCATGGCCAAAGCCACACCAAGACATTAACTCCCAAAATTCCAAGGTTTAAGTACATTCTTTTATAGAGAAAAGATTAAAAAAAATATACACATGCTAAACATAAATACAGGTCAACCTAAAACCTGCTGAGTCAACCACAAAGAAGCCATGTCTCCAATTAGTTAATTCCTGGACCATGATTTTAGCCAGCAAGGTTGACTTGGCCTCAAAGTTATAAGTGAAGGTGAATCTTTGAACTCTTTCAGTGAGTTCATGTGGGTAAATGTAAATCACAATGAGCCAGAAGGAGTAAGTAGATGTGTCTTGGTGCTAAAGAGCTAACAGGTAAACCAGATTCTGGATTTCTTGCAATTATTATCTGCCTGCATGATCAGGTCACATTGTTGTTGGTCTGACAGGTACATCTATGATTTTGTCCTCCTTGGCGGCGGTCCCCTTGATCTCAAGGTCATTTGAACTTCCTGGGACAGCTCCACCTATATTGGGCTCCCTTGGTCATTGAATCCCCACTACTGGAGCCAGAATTATTCTGCCACCCCGTGCTCCTGGTGTGATGGGGTGGGGACATTACTGCATCTGTGGTAGGAGAAACTCTCTTCTGGGTGCCTGCCGGAAGGTCCCTTGCTTAGCTGGGTAGAGTGGAAAAGGGAAGGAAGAAGAGTAGAGAGAGGCAAGCGATGGAGAGTTTGGAAAACTGGAGTACCCCGGCCCACCTTAGTGTTGTCTGAGCAAATAAGGACATTTTTGTTTTGAATTTTGACGCTTTAACAAAGGTAAGAAATTGCAGTATTAGCCTAAGGAATCACTCTTGAGTTAACTCAAAAGCATTTTGTTGAGTTGAATTTCTTCCTTTGATAACACTTGGAGTTTGTTTCTAGTTGGCCCAGAAGAGATAAGTTCCTGAAAATGTGTATAGATACCAAAATGCTGGTTGAATTGTTTTTTCTGTGTTCCATAAGTAACATCTCATTTTCTCCCTCTATCTGATTTGCTTAAAGGTGTATCTGTTTGCTCTCCCTGTTTTGTTTGGAAACATTTATTTATAAAGAATTAAGCTATTCCTAGCATTAAAGAAAACCTGCAGATAATTGCTTTATATGAGAATGGATTGTATTCTACATGAAATCAATTTTAATATAATAACATGGTAATGTAGGTGTTTTTGATACCTTATTTTAAAATTTTCATTTTATTAGTTTTATGTAATAATATATATTTAATTTTTAAGGGACCCTATTAGAACTTTAAGTAGTTAAGTAAAGCAGAATAAGGAAGGTTGGATGCTCTGGGATTCCATGGAGTTGCAAAGATTTTGAGTGAGTTAGAGGATTAGGTCTCTTAGTAAAAAAATTACAGAAATCATAGAAATGTTAATTAAAACCCCAGAGATTATAAAATATAAATTCGTTAGATTTACCTGTTGGAAACCTGAAGAATATTCCCTTTAAATTATAAACTTCTTAACTGAGAGGAAAAACAAAGTTACTCATGAAAAGTTAGAAATTAAAATAAACACAAGATCAGAAAAGAAGAAAATATTTTATGGAGATCTGCTAAACAAGATTAAGAAATGATTATTCTTCCTTTTTAAATGTTACCTCTCTGGTGCCTTGAATTTACAAGGCTTTCAGAAATCACTATCATTCATTTGACACCTGGGTTTCTTTGCATTATGGGAATCTGGCTTTTGTCTTATTTTCAATGTCAAACGTTGTCGAAGATTCCACTAAGCATCCAAATCTCAAAAGATTGGGCATAGAGAAGAGCTTGATAAGAACACATTTACGCCTAGGAATTTTCTCAAGTTAATACTTTGTCAAAATTATTACTGATGGGACTGGAAATGTAGCCTGCCAGTGAAGAGGCTGCTGGGGGAGAAAAAAAAAAAGCTTAAAAGATGGTCAAACGTAGGGACACCTGGCTGGCTCAGTCAGAAGAGCATGCAACTCTCGACCTGGGGATCTCGGGTTCAAGCCCCACACTGGTATAGAGGCTACTAAAACAGAACAAAACAAAACAAAACAAAAAAAACAAACTTAAAGAAGAAAAAAAAGACAGTCAAATGTAGAAAATATTATAAGCCCTGGGGCACCTGGCTGGTTTAGTAGATTGAGAATGTGACTCTTAATCTCAGGGGCATGAGTTCAAGCCCCACATTGGGTGTGGCACCTACTTAAAAAATAAATAAATAAAATATTTCTTAAAAAGAAAAGAAAATACTGTAAGCCCTAAAACAAACCTCAACAATGTTAAAATAATTGAAAATACAGTGTTCTCCAACTATAGTGGAACCAAACTAGAAATTAACGGTGAAAGGCAATAGGAAAATCTGCAAATACATGGGAACTATAATTCATAAGTCAAAGAGGAAGCTTCAAAGGGAGATCAAATACATTAAACTGAGAGAAAACTGGGGGGAAAAAAGACGGTGGAGATAATTTCTTCCTCTGAACATCTGAGACACTCACATACACCTTCCCCTCCTCCTGGTTCGTGGGATTAATGGCACTGACCAGCCTGCAGGGCCCCCTCACCTTGAAAATGAAAATCTCCGCTTTTCTTCGAGTCTGTTGCCCTTGTCTCTGCTACCCTGGTAGCTGTGCTTTGTGTTTGAGTTCTTGAAATGCACCAGGCGGTTTTTACAATCCAAATTGTTAAAGGTCCACGTTTTAGCATTTTAACCTGCATTTTTCTTTTTTCAGAAGATAAAATATTATGCTTTCCATGGCCTTTCTGTGACCACAGAAAACAAGAGGGCATTGTTTAGAGCCTTAGGTCAGAAGGAAAAGAATAGAAG